TTCCACACTGATCTATAGCTTTTGTCTTCCTCTTGAACGCTGCCTGGGAGTGTATCTTCTCTCTTTGTTCTTCAGCCCTCCCGTGTGGATCCTGTTCAAGGGTTCCCATACAAAAGTGTTCACCCACCATCCTCCTCAGTTTGCCTAGTTGCAAGTTTCATCGATTTACTTTTATTTTAGATTTGGGTTTTATTTTCACACGTACTCAAGTACAGGAGTACAGTGAAAAGTGTACAATGTTGTCACACACAATGCCATCTTGAATACAATGTACCTAGGTACAATATCTTCACTGCAGAAGTAGAAAAATAAAGAAAAAGTTTAAAAAGTTCAACACTACAGTTTTCTTAATATAAAAGTCGAAAACTGAATTAACAAAGTTAACAAAAAAATCAAACATTTCAGTCCTTTCTCAAACCATAGGCCTGCAGATGCACCAAGCTGGGCTTTCCCCAAGAGAGCTCATCTTCACTTGTATGTTTATATCTGCACCAAGCTAATGCCCGCTCGTGCTCGCCAGCTGCTGTTAGCCCCGACCACCGCTGCTGCTGATCTCCATGGGCATGCCAGGCATTGCCGCCACTGGCAAGGCTTCAGTCCCGACAGCCACTGCCAGTGTCCACGTTCACGCTGGGTCTCAGCCGCTGCCATGCTCCATTGCCATATGAGCCAGCTCGCTGCAGAGCTCCGCTCTGGTACCACTCCGCACACTGATAAACCATTGAATCCCTACTGAATGGAAGCAGGCCGTTTGGCCCATTGAGTCCACAGCACTCTTCCAAAGTGCATCCCACCCAGACCCAGTCCCCATACCCCAGTAATCCTGCATTCTCCATGGCTAATCCACCCTAACCTGCACATCCCTGGGCACTATGGGACAACTTAGCACGGCCAATCCACCCTAACCTGCACATCCCTGGGTGCTATGGGACAATTTAGCACGGCCAATCCACCCTAACCTGCACATCCCTGGGCACTACGGGGCAATTTAGCATGGCCAATCCACCCTAACCTGCACATCCCTGGGCACTATGGGACAATTTAGTATGGCCAATCCACCCTAACCTGTACATCCCTGGGCACTATGGGGTCATTTAGCACGGCCAATCCACCCCAACCTGCACATCCCTGGACACTATGGGACAATTTAGCATGGCCAATCTACCCTAACCTGCACATCCCTGGGCACTACGGGGCAATTTAGCACGGCCAATCCATCCTAACCTGTACATCCCTGGACACTATGGGACAAGTTAGCATGGCCAATCCACCCTAACCTGCACATCCCTGGGCACTATGGGACAATTTAGCACGGCCAATCCACCCTAACCTACACATCCCTGGGCACTATGGGACAATTTAGCACGGCCGACCCACCCTAACCTGCACATCCCTGGGCACTATGGGACAATTTAGCACGGCCAATCCATCCTAACCTGCACATCTTTGGACTGTGGGAGGAGACCGGGGCACCCAGAGGAAACCCATGCCGGTGCGGGAAGGGTTTACAAACCCCACGCACAGACACGAAGCAGCGATGCCACTGACCATGACCCACCACCCTGTGCCCGACTGGTAAAGCCCCCCAGCTGCTGCTGTTGCTGCCTCCATGCCAGAGCTCTAAAGACTAAAGGACTAAAAAAAAGGAAAACAAAATCCGGAAAAGAAGAAAGAAGAAGAAAGAAAAGCAGTCAGAGCGGACGAGCTCTAGTGAGGAGCCTTACTCCCCCACCATCGTGCCCAGGATTGTTGGCTATTTTCCGCTGCTGAGCCAAACAAGGTCAATTTCCCATCTTGCTGTGACTGCCTGTCTGGTTTCAATCAGATTTCACCAACTGACTATTCTGTTCCGTTGTAAATTGTCTTATACACTGTTAAATTATTTTTTCTCTCTAATTCAGCCATGTTGTTACACAGTGTCGTTAGAATGAACAAATTTCAATGTAATTAGCAAATATTGCACTTCTTCTGGTTTCAACGTAACAAGCACTGTTCTGAATCCAGGCTGCAAACCTTTTACTAGAACCAAAATACTGTGGATGCTGGGAGTTTGAAATAAAAACCAGAAAGCATCTGTGAAGGGAGAAACAGCGTGAATGGTTTGAGTCTGAAAAGACTCTTCTTCAGAACTGAAGGGGGCTGCAAAATGATGTTTTCTTGCATTGTAAACAAAGGAGATGGTGGGGATGCCCAGAATGATGATAGAAGGAGTGGGTTACATGCAAAATAGGTGTTAATGATAACTGAGTTGCAAAAAAAAGGTCAGTTCTGCTGCGAGCAAGACTGTGCCATTTGAGGGAGGAAGGGGGGTTTAGTTGAAATGGAGGACATTCGTGCTCTGAAGTTGTTGAACTCAGTGTTGAGTCTTGCAAGCTGTAAATTGGCTAATTGGAAAATGAGGGGCTTCTTCCTCCAGCTTGCTACACTGCATCTGGTCATAGACAGAAATGTAAATCCTTCCCTTAAACATGTGGAACACCTCACCCTATGCTCTTGAAGGAAATTAGAACTGAAACATGAAATATGATGTTGAAAATGTTAATTCCTCCCCCCCGGAGTGTGAGCTCTTGGAAGATTTCACAGTCTAGACACGGTGTGGTTATGGATATGGATGAGAAAGGGGGTAGCATCAAGTCTGCAGAACTCAATATTGAGAATAGATGTGTGAGAAGAGAACTTTGGCAAACAGACAGATCTCATATTTATGAATTTACAGTTTTGTAGTGACTATTACAACCTCAGGACATTACAAAATGTTTGACAACCAATGAAGTACTTTGGAAGTACAATCACTGTTGTAATGTAGGAAAGGCAGAGCAAACATATGCACAGCAAGCTCCCACAAACAATGACATGAAATTGGATTTGAAAATATTGATTGGGACACCAAGGATAATCTTCCTGGTCTTCTTCAAAACAATGCCATGGGATCTTTTACATTGAGTGCAGATAGAGCCTAGTTGTTATATCCCTTCAAGAGCTGGACCTTAGATCCTGAAGGACACTGGCAGGACAGCGTTGGGAATGTCAGTTTTGATTATGTGTTCATGTCTTTGGCAATTAAACCCACGTAAGAATATTATTTTAATTATAATCTTATAATTTTATAATTTTTCTGAAGAAGGGTCTAGGCCCGAAACGTCAGCCTTCCTGCTCCTCTGATGCTGCTTGGCCTGCTGTGTTCATCCAGCTCTACACCTTGTTATCCAAGAATATTATTACTGGCCCAAGGTTCACACATAACAGGACATGGCAGGGGAGGTGCTGGCCTAGTGGTATTACCGCTGGGCTGTTAATTCAGAGACACACGTAATATTCTGGGGACCTGAGTTCAAAGATTGCTACAGTAGATGGTGGAATTTAAATTCAGTTTTCAAAAAAAAATCAAATTACGAGTCTAATGATGACCATGAATCCATTGTTGATTATCCTTTAGGGAAGGAATCCGTCATCCTTACCTGGCCTGACCTACATGTGACTCCAGACCCACAGCAATGCAGTTGACCCTTACCTGCCCAATGGGCAATAGACATTGGCCTAGCTAGTAACACCCACATCCCATGAATGAATTATTAAAAATATTAATATATATGACATAACGTTTATTAACAGAAGAACATATATTGGGAAGAAGCTAACTATTGTGTAAGACAGTCAGTACCTGAAATAGTTAACTAACATCACAAGCTAACTTCCACCCACTGCAATATGAAGGACTGACCCTGGGATAAGTTGCATCTAGTGTGTTCCCAGTATCTAAGTTGTTGCTGTTAGTGTTAAAAGCGTGTAGCTGAACCAGTAATGTGTGCTTAACTTTACGTTGAGCCTGAAGTCTCACACATATCTTTGATGTAATACAACTAACCAGTGAGTGCCGCAGGGTAATAAACCAGAGCTGATGATCGGGATTGAGCCATCCCCCTGGAAAAGGCTTAGTGCGGGTATCCTTCCCCACCTGGCATTGGTGATCAAAGGAAGACCCATCAGGAGGATTGATTTTGGTAAATCTACTCCAAAACATCCCAGCTGGTTAGCCTCACCATTATCCAATGTGTTGGCAGGCGATATTATAAGAACCGTTGTTGTGGGAGCCAGGCTGCAGATCGGCCACAAACTCATTGAACGGTGGAACAGCTTTGAGGGGCCAAATGCCCTACTCCTGTTCCTATATCTAACTAAAACTTTAAATGTTTACAAGAAGGAGTTGGATATTGATATAGAAAAGGTTTTCTGTTTCTCACATCATCCTTGCCTCTTTTGCACCTCACTTTCAATCAATACCCTATTATTCCTGTTCCTATTACAAGCCTCTCCCAGTCTACTCCATCCAAATGTCCCATCAACCTCTCGTTCTGATTATTATCATTAGATGCAACTCCTTCTTGTAAACATTCAATGTTTTAGCCTCGTCCGCTTTCTGTGGCTGAGAATTCCACAGGCCTCTCACACTCGCTGAGTGAAGCCATTTCATCCTCATCTCAGTCCTAAATGGCCTATCCCATATCCTTAGACTGTGACCCCCTGGTTCTGGACTCCCTGGTTATCAGGAACATCCTTCCCACGTTTACTTTGTCTAGTCCTCCTTGAATATTGGAAATTTCTCTAAGATCCCCGTCATTGTTCTAAACTCCAGTGATTATAATCCTAACCAATCTCTTCATGTGTCAGTCCTGCCATCCAGGAATCAGTCTAGTGACTCCTATGACTAGATGAATATTCTTTATAGAAAGTTTACACAGTCTATACAAATATTGATATATACCTCCTTTCTGTTAGAGTGGATCTATCTCGGCACCTTTGCTGTAGCTGTAACACTGTTATGCATTCGGTTCTATTACCCTGACGTAGTTATGTAAGGAAGGCTTTGCCTGGCTAGCACGCAAAACAATATCTGTACCTTGGATGTGACAATAATAAATCAGATCAAGTCCCTTGTCTCCAAAATTAGTTCTCAAGTTAATCCTGGTCCTGATCTTGTGGTTTTTCTTCTTTCTTTACAGAAGTGAAAATTCAGAGCTCCTCAGTGAAGACCTTATCCAGGTATGGGCTCTCTCTGGTGGGAGACAGCACTGTTCCACACTGTACTGATGGTGAGGCTCGGTGACAGTCAGTGAGGGATAGACGCAACTCAACCAACTGAGATTGTGTTCTTTTTTCACCCATCCTTTTCCGTGCTGCAGAGAAACAAGATAATCCCATGGGTTTTCATTGCCACATGTTCAATCTAGTGCTCAAACCAAATTATCTGCTCTGAAGTAATTGAAGTTTCATACGTCAGGGAGACTCCATGGTTCAATCATTGGGCAAAGTAGACACGACTCTCCATCCCATAATCAACAGATATGTCATATTGTGTCAGAATTAATTGTACTTCTTCCTCTGAGACAGAAAAACTATGGTAGAACTGATTTTGCAGTCCAGCACGGAGGGAGTGCTGATACTCCAGTGTAGCACTGAGGAAAAGCTGATACTCCAGTGTAGCGCTGAGGGAGTGCTGATACTCCAGTGT